TTGAAATCTTACAGAAGTAAATGTCTATGTCTCAAGTAACCATGTCCTTGTTTCACAGGGATTTTTTTCTTGATAGTCAAACAAATGTTGAATATCTTAATATCTTTTTTTTCATTTAAGATGTTTACGCTCAAAATAATATCAACTACTACTAGTGTTATAATAATAATAATGATAATAATAATAATAATAAGAAGAAGAAGAAGAAGAAGAAGAAGAACTAGCCAAATCCTCAGCTTACGAACATTTCGCTTAATAATAATTTTTAAATAATTCCGTAGATGAGGTTATTTTATTTATAATAACTGGAATTTTCTGTCGTTCGATACAGTGCGCCTAAAAGAAAATGTTGCTTTTACCGCTGTCGCCATAGCTTGTTGGACATTCGGCTGGGATCAAAGTGTAGTATCTGCCCTCGGGTGGATAATTTCCCATTCACGTCTCAGTTGTGTGTTTCTCTGCGGACAGAACGAACAGAAAATATTATAGATCGGTGCCCGGATTCGGGAAACATGTATCCGCAACAGTACCTCCCTCATTACACTAAAAAGACGGGATATCGGTAGTAATATCAACATCGACGGTTGCAGGGGATGGAATATTTTGTGACCAGGCCCTGGTACACGTTCTCGGGCTCTCTACATTAAACTGACCTTGAGTCACATCATGCCAGCTTGGGGCAGCAAGAAAGTACAGTCTTTTCTCGATTTTTTTGGTTGGGAACAATATGTAGTGTCTGCCCTCGGGTTTATAATCAACATTTCATCTCTCAGCTGGGACTATATAATCGCTCGACGGCCTTTTAGTTGAGATCAAAGTGTAATATCGGTTCTTATCAGCTTAATCTGATTATCTCTCTTCACTTCTATCTTTCCTTCTTTCTTTCATCTTCTAGGCCTTTTCATTAAGATCAAAGTGTAGTATCTGTTCTTAGCTTAATCTGATTCTCTCTCTCCACTTCTATCTCCTTTTCTTTATTGCATTTTCTCACTGAAACCAAGTAGTATCTTTTCTCCTCTTTCCACGCAATCAAAATGGAATAGTCCATTAAATATGAAGTATTAGCAGGGCGCAAAGTACGTGAGAACTAACGAAGGTTTCAATAATAGGGTAATAATAATAATAATATTAATATTAATAATAATAATAATAATAAGTACCTGGAAAACAGGTACTCACATACTCTGTTAAGATATGTGTCTCAAGATATGAGTATTTGTGAAGAGGATGTCATTGCAATTGTTCAATGAGAAGATCAAAGGAGAAGGGAATTTTTTCAAGGAATGAGATGAAATGGCCAATTTGAAAGAGAAGGACAAAACTCATGGATATATGACTGTGAGGTGGTCATCTAAAACGTGCAAACCCTTACTACTAATGCGATAAAATACCATATACACAAAAACATCAATCATTCCAAAATATAGGCATTGTGTTGAGCACTCTGAGAATGGATTGTGACGTTAGCTCAAAAAGGATCTAAGAGGCGCCATGATATTGGATGCCTTTATGTAAATTAGTTATTGTGTCGAAAGTATGGATACCAAGATGCAGAAAGTTATTATCGAAATAGCCAAGAATACCAAAGAGAATATATCAATCTTGAGTAACCTTTACTATTACTTCTACTGTAATACAACCTTCCTTTTTCTTTTGAACTGTCAAATATGTAGCTAATGGTCATGTTTGTAATATTGGTTGACAGAACTAAGTTCAACTCGAAGGTAATTTGCATTTCAAGCCCCGCGCTCAGTTTCTAATAAAAATGTCGATCTATTTCTACTTAGGTGTAAATGTACATGTTTAATTCGAAAATAACCAAGAAATTTGGACAAAATCTACCGTTTAGGAGTTATCGACAATAAATGTTCGGACTCATTTGGGTTGCGGTGGGTGAAGTTGAAATTAATTCTGCACCCTGTAATATTTGCAGTAATTGTTGCGGACGGCAAATCCTTCGGCAAGACAACAGAAACGTTTACGTCTGGGGATGATAGGATTCGCATCGACCACTTGTGTTTGCTGGGAATACTAAGAAAAAATCCTCAGCATTTTAGGAGATCTGCTGCCAAGTTAATGTTGATTGAATGCTAACAAAACATTTTCGATAAAGATACAAATCGAAGAATTTCTAAAAGTATTTATCATATTGTAGTAGTAGTAGTAGTAGTCCTTTTCTATGTTTTGGGATCTAAATATAGAAACCCTTAGTGAAACGTCTTATTCAGCTGCCTTTAGGCATTCTGACGCATAAATACATTTGATAAATTTACATAATCAGGCAATTCTCATTAATAAACTGCATAAGAAAATGTTACGTATATACTGAAGGGAATTTATAGAAACACACACATATGCAAGTCGCGATGGGTAAATTGTCGTCATTTTATATTTTTTTAAAATTTTGCGCATGCGCGTTGTTTGTTTCTGGTTTGGTCGACTGCACAGTGTAGTCGGATCTGTTGGTCACAGTCTGTGAGAAAAAGAGCACGATGATGCTATTCTGTCCGCCAGAAATTTGAAAGCTACATGCGGTTGTGCTTGGCATTCGCACCGGAAACTTCATTACGGACATTTCAGAGTTCTGCGTGTTAGTCTGAGGACATTGCAGAGTTACAAAAGTTTAATGAGTCGAATTGTGATTACAAAGATACGGTAGATCGGAAAACTCACACTGATCGTTCTGATAAGGAAAGAACTCCAGAATTTGTTAGTAAGTGCCTTGGACTCAACAGGGAGGCCTACATCAATTACCTTGAGGAGGCTGTGCTGCCCTAAGTCAAGAGGGTGGCTGCTGGAAGAACCTAATTTCTGGCAACAGGACACTGCACCATGCCACACAAGCAGGAGAACACACTCATAGCTGTCAGGCAATTTCTGCGACTACATTTTCCCTTACAAATGGCCACCTAACTTCCCAGACTGCAACCCCCTTGATTATTATGTGTGAGGCGCAGTTGAGCAACAGACCAACGAAACTCCTTGTAACACCAAAGTTGAACTGAAGGCAAGGATTATGGCAGCATTCACCAACTTAAAAAATGGAGACCGTCCAGAAGAGATGCAGGAGATTCCAGAGTAGCGTGGAGACCGTAGTTGAAGTCAATGCAAATCTGATTGAATAAGTTTACTCTTTTGCATTTCAACATATTTTTTTAGTAAATTTGGTAAATATAGCTGTTAAAATGAGATGTCAGTGTTATTTTCAAATTTGCGTAATTTAGACGACAATTTATCCATCGCACGTTTGTGTGTGTGTGTGTGTGCAGTATAATACACCAGTAATACACCAGTAGATCATTGATGCTAATTTTTTTATTTAGCGGCAAAACTATAAAGAAAATGATTTAAACCAGGACCAGGGAATAGAGACGGGCATCTGTGCAATAGAGAAGCGTCGTGATTTTTACTTTGTCGTATAGACAATTACATTGGGAATGATGAAGAATACAAAAAATATTTTAGAAATGCAAGTGTTAAAAGAAACGAACTTTACAGCGTCAGGATATTTCGTCTAAAACTTTTTTAACATGTATTTAATTTGAACATATAAATATTTTGTATAAATATTATTCTACGATTTATCTGTAAAACGACGTGTTTTCTCCAATGTAAAGGGACTAAATGTAAATAAATAAATAAAAGGAAATCACAAAAAATATTCCAATTTTAGTGGTTAACTATTTGTGAATTACAAGCGACATTTTCGCAATTCAAAATACGGAATAATACAGTGCTTTTATTTTAGTCAAATAAATATTTAAATGTTACAATAGTGGTTTGTAATTTAGAAAACAAATTTAATTTTCAAGAACTTCCATACCAAAAATCTTCTAGTATCATATTTCTACTATTATGTCGTTCTTTATCGCTTGCCATCAAAATTGTCCCCTAATAATAAAAGAAATCATAATTTTCTGATTAATGCAACAATATCGATAACTGTTTGCAAGCATTATATGCATTATATGATTACCAATTATTAAATACGACATCAGAGAAAATGTTGAAATCGTTCCTTCCAAAATCTCTTCTGAATCATTCCCTTTATCTTTTTTAAGCTCCTTTCTCTTTCTTGATATGAGACATTTAAAAAAAAAATGTCATGACCTTGCAAGAAATAGGGGAACCATGGCTCATCACATTTTCATTTCTCTTTATTATCTCGAAATCACAATGACATCTTGGAAAAGAAATTTAGGTATTTTTCTGTTTGAAAATCAGAGCTTTCCTTCTTTTAGACTGGATGTCACTTAAGGCTTGAAGTCTAGCCTATTTGTGCTATTTAATCCATAAGTAGGGGCGAAGAATATGATACGGGCAGGTATCGGCGTCAAATTGAATCCAACAGATAAGGACTGAATTTGAATTTAGCTTTCAAATTGCTATGTCCCCGACGAGAACAGTAAGGCTACTTGCACATTAATTATATGAAAATACATTCTCCAATTAAATTAAATACCTTCACATATCCTACTTTATTGCTTACTTTAGGGGAAGTAATGTCATCCTGCTTGTTGTTTTGTTATAATTTGGACAGAAGCGTTATTTTCATTCTGACAAAAGCTTTCCAGATATGCCAAGTATTAAGCGCTGTACGTGCTTTAAACCATGCTCTTCATTCAGCTTAAGGCTATAACAATGATTTCGTCACTTTTTTCATTGTGCTTTTTAATAAATCTGTTTCAGCAAAGTCAAATCATTTTCAAATTTTATCGGTTTTATCACAAGCAGCCATTGTGAGATTAATGTCAGATGGAATAAATAGTCAGATATTTGATTCAATTTGAAAGCTTAAAGAAAAAATATAAGTAAATAAAGATATGATCAAAGTGTTTTAAATGTAGTGTACATGTGTACATGTATATTTTTATACTAACTCATTTCTAAAAGTGAACTGGATGTTGATCAACAACCTTTTGCTAGAGTTGGATGGATTAAATTCTTGCTACTGGAAGCAAATATACCCATTCGACAGATTAATAAAGTAATACAAATACATTGATTCATAGATAGAGAGAGAGGGGGGGAGAAAGAAAAAGAAAGAAAGAAAGAAAGAAAGAAAGAAAGAAAGAAAGAACGAAAGAAAGAGATTTATCTTACCAAAATCTGACACCAACCTGCAGGAGTAAGAAACCAAGCGTGTATTGAATTTGCAAGATCTAAATATCATTCGCTAAACTATTTTGATGCAGATCTCTATACAGGAAGACCGCAAATAGAAATGGGTTGGACCTATACAAATGAATATACATGCATACAGCATCGTTTATTGCTGTAGTGTAGATGCACTCGTTTGTAAGAGCCGCGCCATTTTAGTATAGGTAACCTTTTAGGTAAAATAGGGCGTAAAAAACGCTTTCATAAAGATTGAGACTGAGATAGATAGATAGATAGATAGATAGATAGATAGATAGATAGATAGATAGATAGATAGATAGATAGGAACTGTAAATCAACCCTGTATTGGGCCTGACAGTTTCATGACCTAAGCGACCTGCATATTTATATTTGTGTGAATGTATGTATATGTATATGTGCATTAGTGTTTATTTCATGATTTATGAAAATATTTATGATTGTGTGTGTGTGTGCTTTTGTGTGATTGGAAAAGGAACGAGAAAGCGAAAGACTGTAAAGAATATATTATGAATAATGCAGTTATGTCTCTCTCTCTATGTTAACATTTCTTGTTTTTGCGTGAGAGCGCGTGTGAAGAGTATATGTATTTTATCTATGTTGATGTCTGTATATATATGACTACTTGCCATTGAATTAGAATGTGTACGCGTGAGAGAATGGCAAAATGTACTTATGTATGTACGATAGTGTTTATTTCTATGGGCTAATCTGTGTGTTTGTGTGTTTGTTAAAAACACCAATTTCTGTGCTCTTTTTCTTCCGTCCGAAGTTTTACCACATAAACACCAAATCCTTTCTTTTTTTTTTTCCTTTTCTTTTCTTTCCTCCACCCTTTTGTAACTTGATTGAATGAATCTGTCCGACAGAATGTTGCCTTTCTCCAAACAATGTTTGCAGGATGGAGGTTCTTTCGACACGCCACCACCTGACCCGACCGTGTCATCGTCGCGTCTCCCTTTCTTGCATCAAGACCTTCCGCTGTTTTATATAAACAGAGCGGTCTGCAGTGTTTTATTTGTGTCATTCTTTAAATGGTTGCATCAAACAAGGTTCCTGGCGAAAAGCAGGAGAGAAAATAACAATTTAAAAAAAAAATCAGATCAAGAAAAACAGATAGGGGATAAATGAAAGTAGAAAAAAGAGAAAAGAAGAAAAAAAAGAAACAAAATATAGACATTTAATAAACTTTACTCGAGTAAAAAGGCATTTGTGGGTCAATCGCTCAGTATCAAACTCACTTCTAAGAATATTTTGATAGACAAATTTTACATAAACCCAGAGCATTTATGAATTTAGGTAAATTCGGTAACGGAAAATCCGGTAATTTTGATAGGAAAATTCCGAAATTTGTATGTTATGTTTAACAGTTACACACGTTTGAATAGACGTTTATATTTTTAACCAGTATATTTTAGTCTACATGCCTCTTCGTCTTGACAAGTATCTTATTTACTTATATTTACTATGTCCTATTTACTTGAAATTACCTGGGATTGGGAAGAATTCTCAACCATTGGTTGACCAGATCATTTTTTACATTGCGGAGTCAGAGTTATTGGGCCACAAAATTGCGGCTAGTTTTCTCCACTAGAAGCTTTTTTCCTTCTTTTGAGAAGAATGAGGTTCACCCATTTTCTAATAGTTCTGTTATTTATTATTTTAAATATCGGTGTGATGCAAATGATGTGGGGCGCAATGGCTTATGCCTGCGTACAAGAATCATCCAGTTTATAAGACGGGGTGAGTTACATGTTTCAATACGAGCAAAGCTGTCGGCGTTGGATTCTGCCATTGGCCAAGACTTAATTTAAATTCCTGCTTGTTTTGGCCAATACAGAGAGAATTTCTTTCAGATTGTACGTAGAGTAGATCTTGGTATTTACTAAAGATTAAAGCTGTCATTATCAAGTTGTGAAAGTCGACTCTTTGTCGACAAATGGAGAGCCTTGTACGTTCTCTTTTTAATTTGGGGAAATTTTTATTTTCTTTTTTCCTGAACAATTTTTATTTTATTTTATTTTTTTGCCTTTTTTAAGTTTATTAATCAATTTTATTTGTTTTTAACTTAACACATTGAATTAATTTAGATACTTTGATTGTTATGATTTTATATTTTAATCGTACGCCAGTTGTATTCTCCCATTTAGTCCTGTTAAATTGTTTTCGTTTTTCCGGCTATAAATATGATCATAATTTTCGCCAACGATTTTTCTCTGACAAAGGGTTGGTCGAAAGGATCCTTAGAAGTTTTCTCCCACGTTTTTAGTATTAAGCTGTTGATGTCTGTCCTTTTTAAGGCCATCATTAAATTTTGAAGTAGCATATCATTGTTCGAATCTATACGTATTACAGCCGTTCGAATCTGTAGGTTTTTAAATCAGTCAACTGCAAGTAGACCTCGTCCTGGATATGACAATAAGCTACATCGGCGTCTTGGATAAGACGATAAACTACGTCGAGTATCATGGCCTCTGATCAAGAGGTTTTGAGGAGCGTGGAAAAATCTCTTAATTTCTGGTGTTCCCAGTTTCAACCTGGCCCTGGGTGGTAGCACCTGTTAGGGTGACACATATGGGCAAATAGTTGACCCTGAAACTGGGGCTGAAACACTATGAAAATATAAAAAAAAGGTTTTAATACCAGAAATAATTTGAAAAAAATATTACTAGTAATGCATTATTACCAGCAATACATTTTTGAAAAAAAATTACCAGTGATACATTTTTGAGAAAAAATATTAGCAGCAATAAAAATTTTGTCGGCATTAAATAACCCATTGATGTTGATATGCCGTAAAACAATCCAAACCAGACCAGCTATATATTTTTTAAAGAAAAAATATTACCAGAAATAAATTTTTGAAGGAAAAAAAAACAAAAATATTACAAGCAATACATTTATGAAGAAAAAATATTACGAGCAATACAAATTGTTGGCATTAAATAATCCATTGTGGTTTATATGCCGTAAAATAAGACAAAAAAACTAAACCAAATCCAAGCAGACCTTTATTTGTTTTTCTCTCTACGAACTCGTATACTGCATGGTGCTATTATTGTCTTTGCAACGATCGCTGATATAGTGCCTGGTCGCGTTCTTAGATTTACTGTCGAGAACTGCGAGATTTGCACTTTCCCTGCATTTCTCAGTGAATTCTGTTCTCTTCAAAGAAAAATTAGAAATACTTTGTTTAATATCTGTTTAATGCCTTAATAATGTCTAACAGTTCCAAGGCATTTCACACAAGTTCATTGAGAAGAAAAAAAGATGGTGGTTTTATGTCCTTTGATGATTTTTAAACATTTCACCCCAACAAAGGCAACAAAGTCACTAAGACGCAAATTTGATACTGTGTGTGAAAGAATATAAGAAAAAGAAAAGCATTATTAAGGAGCAATAAGAATAAAGGAACAGAAATTAAGAAGACAGAAAATAATGATTGATATTGCATTTCAATTTTTGAAGATCAAAGAATAATGCCGGAAGCGAGAAGTACGATAAAAGAAACTGTTAGCATAGAACTTACGGTTACATCTGGAAATTTCACCTGGAAAATTTTAAGATATTGCCAGCTATCTAGTACTGTGCTTAAATTAATAATATCTAGTTAACCTAGAAGAAAGATCATCACAACAATGACCATGAAATATTTATAGAAAGTGTACAGAGAAGCTACTTTATGATAATGGGAAAGGAACTGAAACCGGGATGACAGATCAAGGCCAATGAAATTGCAGATTCTTCTTTGGATTTTATCAAGTGTATCAGAATATATAGCAGGAAAAGCAGACCATATGTAACAGCAATATTCTATGAATGGAAAAATGGCAGAATTATAAATATGTAAGACAGATTCGCGCGAGACACAGTGAACCAACATTCCGAGCAATTAATTCGATATAATCTTTCCCCTTCATATCATCAGAAAATGTTAACCCGAGAAGTCGCAATGTGTCAGTCTTCCGGAGGTTAGCATCAGCCATTCTGACAGAAGGCAGAAATAGTTCTCAGATAAGATTAATTTCGTTTTGGAAGCAGCAAAATTAACAAGCCATTCCTTGCTCCATTTGACAACAGAATGAAGATCTTTTTTTTTTAAATCAGCTGCAAAAATTGATCTTATCGAACCACACAGACATACTATTAAGACAGGAGTAAATATTTGTGTCTTCAGCACAAGTACCGCGTTGAGAGCTGAGGCCATCAGAAAGGTAATTAAAGTCCATTTGTAAACGTTTACGTTTTTTTTCAATTTGTGTGTATTATCGATCATAATTTGATTTTAATTAGAAGAATGGGTTTTTATATGTTAAATATTCATATATAACACGTTGCTCGGAAAGGGGGAAGTTAAACTTCCCAAGGGAACTTGGTAGTATGAACAGTACACACACACACACACACACACACACACACACACACACATATATATATATATATATATACATATATATATATATATATATATATATATATATATATATATATATAGATATAGAGAGAGATAGATAGATAGATAGATACACCTAGTGAGCCAGACAAACCTACCTAGGTTTCACCTAAACGGATCTTACTTTCCCTGACGATCCGTTTAGGTGAAACCTTTCCTAGGTTTGTCTGGCTCACTAGGTGTATCTAGGTCTGCTCTACGGTTGTATTGAGCTCTTTTGTTAGTTAGTTGTTTACTCGTATCGGGTTTTTTTCTTTGGGCTTCAGACCTGTATCTGTGCGACTTTTTTGTCGGCGGAAGTTCATGTTTGTAGCTCTTTCTTTTTTTAAAACCTTTTTTTCCCTCGAGATTGATTTGATTATTAGCAAATAAAAAATTCGAGGGTTTTTCGAAACGAGTCTAGTTATC